CCCATCCCCAGGTACTGAGGTAGTGGTTGGGAGGCTGGGTGCAGCTTCTCATATCTCCTCTTTCCCCCCAGATAGGGGAAGGAGAAAAAGAAAATTTGGAAACAATGTTCTCACCCACTTTTCCCTAACCCTCGATCGTTTCCATCCTAATCAACCATGTACATGTCATCAAAAATAAAATGAAAAGTAAACAAATAAATTAGGTGAAGATTTTAAAAAAAGGAATGATGTAACATTTCTTTGAAAACACTATTAGGGGGAGCATTTTCTCTCCAGTTCAGCACAACCCCATCATTTTCCAAAGGGTGACATTTAACCAGAATCATTTATTAGCGTTACTTTTCTGCCTCTAGCAATGTTTACATCTGTGTCCTTTGTGGGCAAGATTAGATCCAGGGAGTCAAGTAGGGGGACAGTATTGGTTGTATGGATGACAAATCACACAGGCAGGTGCCTGCTTTCTCCTTGCTCTCTCCTACATCGTAGCCAGTTTGCTTCTTTCTTTGACTGCAGGCTGGAGGAGAAGCTGGATGAGAGCTGGAAGAACCCCCCTGGGGAATGTGGCACCCCAATGTGTGGGGCTGGCCACCATCTGAGCACGGGCGTTGGGGATGCAATCAGAGGGGGAGAGAGGAGACAGAACTCTGGGCTGGACACTCAGAGCTCGGTGTGAGTCAAGGACAGTCGTTGGCATCTCGCTTTAATAGCCAGATATGGCCCATACCAAGCTCCTCTCTAGCAAGGTTATCAAGTGGCTAAGGATAAGGAAGGATTCTTTCTTAACTTTTAAAAATTGATTGATTTGGGAGAAATCCCTGTGCTATAAATTAAAAAAAAAATGATTGATTGATTTGCAGGGCTAATTAGAGAAAGGGAGAGACAAAGAGCGGGAAATCTTTGCAGGTTTGTTGTGGATAAGGTTGGGCCTGATATTCTTTCCTATGCTCTTGCCTTGTGCTTAAACAGTATTCTAAGTGCAAGCCAACATACAACTTACAAAGTGATAAAGTTTATTTAAAAGGCGAGGAAATCACAGATACATGGGCCATGTTCAGGGAGAGAGCAGGCTTCGAAGGGCAGGTGGGAGAGAAAGAAATTTTCAGCATGAGGGAGATGCTTTTCTAAGATTATGTTATGTAAGCCTAAGTGTTCCTTCTTTGTCTCAAGGAAGGACACAAACAGTAGGAGAAAGGGGGTCCCTAACCAAGCATTCTCCACAATGCAGAAAGATTTTTCCTTCTGAGTCTCCTATACCACTCATCTTAAAAAACTTACAGGGTCAAAAATGGGGCATGTATACTTCCTTAAGCAAGCAGCAGTCTGTTTTCAGTCACTGAGACTATAAGTTGCGGATCTCTGCACTATGCCATGTCTCTTTCTTCAAACCCACTCCACGACTGTATGGTTCTCTCTGCTCTCCACAGTGTTCCATGTCAGGTGGGCCTGCTGTAGTTTAGTCAGCACCCTCAGGATGAATTCCAGTAAACCAGTGGTTCTCCAGCTTACTGTGGCTAGAACCACAGACGGCTGGGTGCGTGTCAAGAGGGGATAGATCATTTGCTGCCAGTCCAGGCTGCACACTTGTTGTATATTGATACTGAGGTTTTGTTGGGGCTTTTAACTGACCGGATCTTTACTCTGTTAGCCCTATCTTCAGACCAGAGAAGGTCTCCCCAAGAGGCCACTGAACTTATCTGGACAATAAGACGCTGGACTTTATGCTAGGTATGTGCTTGCAAGGAAGGAATCTCAACTGAACTTGAACTGTGGTTATGCAACAAGGTGGAGGAATCCACCATGGGGGGAGGGGTATGGGAGGGGTGAGGGGAGTCCCCAGTGCCTATAAAACTGTATCACATAATACAATGTTATCAACAATAAAAAAAAGAAACAAAACCAGTGATAGAAGCAATGACCTTGATTCCCAGAGTAAGCAATACTCACTTTGCTAACCGACTGAAACTGAAATGAATAACACATTTGCCTTCTTGTACCTGGCTAGACTGACTGGCTCCAGCCACTTGCAGGTGCTCCCTGGGGTGACCCACACCTTCCTGCTGGTCCTGAACTTTAGAGTCAGAGCTTTCTCTAGCCTGGTCAGTGTGTTTTCCCTCTTAGGGTAGCTTCTCAGATTCCACAGTTCCTCTAAGGAAATAAAAACATTCTGATACTTCCATGCAAGTCCATTAGTTCTATGGGGCAAAGGTACTTTGTCCTGTGCCTTGCACTCCTCACCAGGGTAGGATAGTCCCTGGGCAGAATCCCTGTGACCTCCATCATCCACTCTTCCCTTGGTTTTCTTGGACTGAATCCCCATGTATCTGCACAACCAGGATTCTCCAGCTTGCAGGATTTGCCACATCTGTTCCAGTCACTGATCAGTGGAAGGGTGGGCAACCCAGACCCTCCACTACCAATGGCAGTGTGCCTGCATCTTGCCATTGTTTTTTTACCCCCAGCTCTGTCCACATAGCTCCCTTCTCTCTGCAACTGGCACCTGCTCTTTCCACTTCCCACTCTTTGTCCAGGTCAGAGTCCCAGCTTCTCCTGCCCCCAGGCCTGTCTTCCTTGGATTATACTTTTTTCCTATGTCATTTCATAAAGGACAGTAGGGCATATTGTTACACTATCTTGCTTCCAATCAGGCTGATTATACTTTAAGAAAATCAAGTCTTTGGGAGAACAATTAATTAAACTCAAATTATGCATCAGTTATAAGTTTATAACACTACATGGTGAGATTTTTTTATGCCGAATGTATGATTTTTTTTTGTTCAATCAAAAGGCACTTTAAGTCACTAAAATGCCTCTTGTCATTATGAATATTAATTTTCATGGATAGTTGAAATGCACCTAAATGAAATTAGTAGCTCTTTCTATTTGAGAGAATGATGGCTAGTCCATTTCTGACTCTACTCTAAAGGAAGTAAAGTAGAAATATCATCTTGTATATGTCCAGTGGGAAGCTGGCTCAGCCTCCTTGGCCTGTATTCAGGTTCTTAATGGTGCTAAAAACTTTTGAACACATGAAATTGCTTAGTTAAAATTTTAAAAGCATTAATATCAAAAGGTATTTTGTATAAGGGACTTAGGCTTAGTATTTATTTTCACTGCAAGATACATTGAATTTTTCTCCTAAATTTAGTGGATACCATCACTATCTATCCATCTAGAAAATTCTTGCCCTACTAAAAAAATTCAACAAGTCTATTATGCCCAACTATATTTTCATCATACGTAGTTTAAGACTACATTATTTCTTTGGAGCTTAAAAAAAAAAGAGAATTTACAGTGACATTCCAAAGCAGAAAAATCATTATGTTGCCACAAAGCATAACTGACTTAACAAAGTAAAGTAGAACCTTTTTCTCTGAAAATTACTTCCAAGGAGTGTCAGAGTCCAGCAACCATTATCATAACTTTCTCTGTTATGAGTGGTCCAGTATAGGCTGCAGTCAATTGCTGCACAGTTTTTATCCCTCAAGGCCTAATGGAAAGAAGATGAGAAGGAAATATAAATTCAAACTCTGCTCATAAACTAATGGCCCATTATTCAACCAATTTTCTACCTGCTTCTGCAGCCTTCATTAACACCCCATTAGGAGTAGCAGTAAAACTCCTGATTTATTCTTCAAGGCTGTAAGTTATGTCTTACATAACAAATTTTCCTGGGCTCTTCAGTCCTGAGATCTGAACCTATAAATATCTATTCTCTGGCTAGAGGAGTATAATGGCACAGTTTGAAAATTTTCTTCTTGAATGTATAAAATTTGACAAATTTTAAAAAGCATGTAGGGTGCAGGGAAGTCTCAGAATGGGTTTTAATGACTGCTTTAGGGCCTATAATGAAGTTATAAAGGATGAACTCTAGTTTGACACAAAAGTAAATGTGCCCAGGTGTTTCTGTCAACATCATGGCCTTCTGTTCAAAGCAGTATATGCACTCCAGGTAGACCTACGCCACTGTGTGTGCAAGACGTGTTGGTAACAGTTCCGCACTAAATTGTACCTCTTCAAGTGTTGGGGGCCTACTCTTTCACATCCTTGACCTTTTCTCTTTGTGTTGGAAACTTTAGCAAGCAACATAAATCTTCCTCTTAAACATACCTTCTTGATAGTGAATGTAGGTTTCCAGAATTTTTCTTTCAAACCAGAGACTCCTTAGTATTTCAAGTTCCTTTCACTTAGGAGCTGCCTGGGGGTATTCCTTTCATAACGAACTAGTTTCTTTTTTTGAATTATTACATGAGACTTTCAAATCCATACCGCCTCCCTCCCAACCCTTGTCTATCTATTTTGCTGTTATCTTCAGGGACTCAGATGCCTCTGGCTCACATCTGACCTCCCTCTAAGAGCAGTTCTTGTGGAGGGAATAGGGTGTATCCAAAGCCACAGCCTCAGAAGGTCCCTGGTTCAGGAGAAAGTCCCATTCTGCTCAGAGGCCCTGTGCCCAGGCTCCAGATCTCTGTTTGCCACCCTGTGGGCAAACAGGTGGCTCCTGGTCCTTCATTCCAGCATCTCCTCACTTCGCTGTCTCCCCGACACTTTGCTCACCTGTCTCCATTCTCAGATTTTCTGTGTGTTCTTCTTTATCTCTCAGGCCCTACTTGGTCACATACAGGCTGCTGGCACCCAAATCCAGAGCGAAAGGACAGCTAAGCTCCAGTCACTGTTGTACCACCAGGTAATTGTAACTTCAGGTAAATGGCTGAGCCCACCATGGCTTGGTCTTATTCTCTGTGACAGCAGGCATTGTACTGAAAATCTGCAGGGTCTCTCAAAAGTCAAGACTCTGGAAACCACAAACTCTTTTCCTTGCCTTCTTCCCCCCACCTGTTTTACCCGAGTGCAAACAGCCAAAGAGCAAAATGTTATGGCATTGGCAGGCAGAGCTCCATCACTCATTTAAACAGGCACAATTGTACAGATAATAGCATGTTATCCATATTTGCATCTCATGCTTTATAGAGCACAGAAGGTCATGTCTTCCAAATCTGGTTTCATTTCTGTGTTGCCATGTTCCTGGCGCTGGAAGGTAGCTCTTCCACATAAGCTGCAGGGAAATGGCCCTTTTTTTCATTTAAGGATCCAAACCACCAGCCTTCATCTTTCTTCTCATGGATAATCACAATGTCACCTGAAAAATCCAAAGCCCCAAACCCACATTTGGTCAGACAAATATGTATTTCAACAATCTCAGCATCTACCGGAGTTTTAGGGTGCTCTGCTTTCAAGGAACTACTTGGCAGAATCATTTTCTACTCTTACTTCACATAACACAAAAATATATTAAACCAGGAGTAATCCAGAGAATATGAAAAAGGCCAAGATAAGGAACAGCTGTTATGCTACAAATTTACTTAAAAGCAGAATCACATTGGGCCACATGTCCATCTCAAACTACCTGGCATACCTCATAGAGGATGGATAGACTGTGAGCAAATTCTGTCAGTGTCTGTACATTAAGAGTTTCACATGTTGATGGCTGTGATAATTTGGAATTCTGACTATGGAGATATGTCTAAGCTAAGAATCCTTTCTTGGGGTCCAGATGGCTTCTCTCCATTAGACCTGGCTTCACAGTCCAAAATTCTAGTAGCTTGGCGTAGAAATATAACTCCCCATTCATCAATTTCAATGACTTTTTAATAAAAGATCAATTTTTAAACATTCCATTTTCAAAGAAATGAGTCACATAAACAGAATTCCCAAGAAACACAGCCTTTGTTCAACTCAAATACTAACAACCTTAAATCTGAACCTCGTGCTCTATATATTTTCTCAGCTAGCCCCTCTCTTGAGAGAGACAGAGGAAGTGGGGAAGACAGAGAGAGAGAGAGAGAGAGAGAGAGAGAGAGAGACAGAGAGACACAGAGAGAGAGTCCTTTCTTCCTGGCTGCTTTTACACATTATGTGGAAACATTTATGTGGCAAATGTATCATAGTGATCAAGTGCCTGTATCCCATATCAGAGTGCCTGATTCAAGTCTTTGCTGTTTTGCTTTCAATCAGCTTCCTCTTAGAGTGTACCCAAGGAGGCATCAGAGGATGGCTCAAGTATTTGGATCTGTGTCACTCAGGCAGGAGATCTGGGCTCCTGGCTTTGCCCTGGCCTATCCTCAGATGTTCAGGGTCTTTGGAGGTGCACCCATAGATGATAGAGCTCTCTCCACCTGCCTCTCTCACTTTCATTAAAATGAAAAAAAAATTGAGTACATTTTACTTCTGCACAATTGAGGAACATCATACTCCTTTTTTGAAGTTTCATTTAGTTTTGAGAGAGAGAGAGAGGCATCTTTCATGCACTGATTCTCTCCTAGAATGACTGCAACAGTCAACGCTGGGCTGGGCCAAAGCTAGGTGCCAGGAGTTCCATCCAGGTCTCCGACATGCGTGGCAGGGACCCAAGTACTTTGGCTGTCACATGCTGCTTTCCAGAATGCATATTAGCAGAGTGATAAAATGGGAAGGGATGCTGGGACTCCAACCCAGGCACACTAACATGGCGTACAGTTGTGGGCGAGCAGCACCTTAAACACTGGAGCACCAGAACATTTTCTTTAGCATAGTTCTGAGGTAATCTTCCATTCTTTTTTCATTTTGCTTTCCCACAAGTTTTCCCTGCTAAGCCTATCCCATCCTACCCAAAACTGTCTTTTCTTTCTCTTAAATCACTTTTGGGTCTTGCTATAGGTCATTCTCAGTCAAACCTCTCCCTCTGATGAGTTCCCTTGGGTTAGTAGATTGTCATAGTCTATTAAAATGCACAGTGATTTGAGATTGTCTTGCTAACCTCCCTAAGCCTCCAATGTCCCGTTTCACTGAAAGTTCTTAGAATAAGACGCAAGTGGGCTCTGCAATGCAAAGAGAATTAAAAACAAACAAGTAAATCATTTCTTTTGTGAACTATTTTAACTTCAACATAGAACCCCTGGTCGTTGACAGCATTTGGGGGATGTGCTTTTTATTTCTAGACAAGGAAAAGTGATTTCCTACAGAACTCTGACTGGTTCTGGGAGGGAAACAGCACCAAGCAGTAACAAATATCTGGTTTCCTGTTATTGGGCTGCCAAGTTCATCTCTATGGGCTCTGAGAGTCTCACATTGGTCATAGATAGTCAGCTTTCTCCTACAACACAATTCTTTCTTCCAGACCCTCCATTTCTAGATCGTTAGTGTCCAAATGTGGTTGTCAACAGGACACCTAAAGAAAGTTGAGGTTTACATAACCTGTAGCATAATCCTTTTCCTTGTTAAATAAACTCCATGGCATAAAGAAGAGAGTCTGATGCTTTAGATTGTCCAATAATCCTTTACTAAGAATTAAGAGGAAAGATTAATAAGCTGAATCAGTTATCTGTGTGCAAGAGCTTGCTCCTACACCAAATCAGAAGTCCCTTCAGACACCTGTAACTGCCAAAAAGATTTTAAAAAGGTGGGGGCTCTATCTCTGAAGGTTTTGCTGGTATTCCACCCTAGTGTGGCCCTGTGAGAACATAGCTGAATTTCTTCATTCAAAATGTGCGCCACCACTGTCTCTCCATTTATACAATGGGAATAAAAATAAGTAACAATACCTTGCAAATATCTGGCATACGTTAAACATGGAGTCAAGATTAGCTGTTACTAGTGAGCTTTAGTTTTCCATGTGCTTTGTTTTCTGGCAGGTAATTGTAAACCGCACTGATCTGCCATGGTGGGGTACCCTAAGGCTGCCATGCTCAGACCAGGTCTTATTTATGTCATGGATCTCAACAGTGGAAGGCAGTTAAAATAGCTGTGAATGATTCTTACCTTTCTCCAGACTCAATTCATCCTCCTGCCGGGCTTGGAAGGAATACAGAGCCTTGCAAAGACCATTGCCGGGTGGGGCCACACCTGAGGCTAGAAGTTGGATTAAGGTGGATTAATAGTCATGCTGCAGAGTTGAAATGTATTGGAATGTTCTCAAAAGCAAAATTTATAATCTGACATCATATCCATTCATTGATGTGTCAGTTTTGAAATATCTAGTATGTCTATATCTGAAAGTCATCTTACAGGAAACACTAAGTCTGGAGCAAAAGTTATTCTCACAATAGTAAGTAGGGCAATTTGAAATTATTTTCCCTCCACATGAGCTTAGTCAGTTAGATAGCAGCTCTGGTGCTTGCATGCATGTTTGGAAAAGCTTGGTTGTTCAGACAAGGGGCACACACACACCGGTTTTCCTCTAGATGCGATAATTGGAACACACACTTCCTGTTATCCATTGGTGCTGGTGGAATTGTTTTTCAAGCAATGGAGCAATGGCTTTTCCTAAATGGTGTAGCCCATCATACTCTGGGATTTATTGATTGTTTGCCAATTTCTAATCAAGAGAGTTGAGATTACAGCAGCTATAGCTGAACAATGGACCATGAGCTGCATGAATGCATGCGTGTACTTGTGTATTGAAAGTTGAATTGCAGTCGTACGTGGAGAAGCATGGTTGAAGCTGGTTTGCTGAATAACGGCACTGAGTAAATCAAGAGTGGCCCTGAAAAGTCAAGTGCAGCACCATGTTTCTTGCCAGCAGGACAAAATTTCCATGGAAGACTACAAGAGACTGGAGACAGCTTCTAAGCTCTTCTCTGTGGCTTCAAGGTGACTGTGTGGACAGCCAATTGTAGGTTGTTCAAACAAAGAGACTGCCAACCCTCTGCCGCCTACCCTCATTTCTTGAAGGAAAAAATGCTTTCCCCAACCTGCTCTCTCGGACACCTTCCTACTTCATGCGTTGCTTTTCTGCACGAGGCTACAGATTCAATGAATTACTCAGTTGTCTTTGAGCACATAAAGGTCAAAGTCACCCTGAAAAGAACATTTAAAGTAGTAATGTGCCAGACCAATGGGACTTGGCCCCCAGTTATTCTGCACATTGGATTACCTGAAGATGAGGAACTTGGATTGTTTTGCTTTCTGGAAGATTCCTGGCTCACAGCATTCTCTAACCTCTTCATCAAAATAGGTCGAGATAGTTTTACGTAACTATGCACATAGTCCTGTTCAAATATTGAAGAAGAAATAGCACTGTTATCATATAGACTCATGAAGAATAACTGTAGTTGTTTTCCTCTGTGATTTAGCTTTCCAACAGGGCAGGACATTGTATAACTAATACTCAATACATTTCTAAGCCCTATCATATTTAAGCCTTGTTTTTGAAGCCTCCATATTTTCAGAATCAATTACTGTATTTTACAACTTATATTTCTGACTCATATGTCTTACCAACTAGTAATATTCATAGCATTATTTCTATAAATTACCCTAGAAAAATATCCTAAGAATAAACCTAAATTCCTAGTGACTTTTTGCTCTTGATTTGATCTTGGAGTAGCTAATTAAGTTCAATTTTAATTGGCTTCATGCAAGAGAAATGATCATGGCCCTAGATGATTGAGACCATTTTAGAGTTCTCAAGCCTCAGAAAACTCCCCCTTGTATTGTGAACTGGTGACAGCGCCCCCTCTACTGGCAATGGAAAATAGCTACAACCAATAGCATCCTGTGAACAAATGGCACATATGATTCCCAGCAATATTTGCCCCAATGCTACTTTGGGTCATTGCACCCAGCAAACCCAATGAAAAAATTACAAGTCTCTTCCATTTTACCTTTTCTTTCCACTTGAAGATACAGTTACTACAGGGATGGTTGGGCTTAGGTCTTTGCTCAAGTTCTGCCAATACTGATGACAGTTTATAGGAGTTTGCTTGCAGAAGGTCCAGTTTCAAATTGTTCTGTGGGTACATCATTTGGCCATGTCATTAAATTTCCAGAAAACCCAGAACAACTGGCTATGGAAGGGGATTATCAGGATGGCTTTCAGAAAGACAGGGAGATCTAGTCAAGCACACCATTGGCTCACAGAGACACACACAGAAAATGCTGAAGAGAACAATAACTGCAGAAACCCTTTAAGTGGTTTATAGGGAAGTCATAATTATTGAGGATGTTTTATCTTGTGCTTTTGTAAACAGAGTAAAGCAGGTAGAGAGGAAGCAGTTACATTACCCGGTACATGGTGGCAGCAAATAGATTTACTCAGTTTTCTACTAAGAAACAAGGAAGGAAACACCAAGGGTTGATTGCAAAGGTAAACTTTCTGTCTTTAAATATGACTATTTTATTTTATGTGTTGGAAAGGCAGAGAGTCTTCCATCTGCTGCGTCACTCTCCATGTTTGGTTTCAACCATGCCAAAGCCAGGACTGGAAACTCCATCCAGGTCTTCCAGTTGTGTGACAGGAATGCTTACAGCTGAGCCATCATCTGTTGCCTCCCAGGGTGTGTATTAGCAGGAAGTGGTATCAGAAATGGAGGAAGATAGGAAAAGCACTGTGGCATACCAGGTGAAGTCATTGCCTGTGTGCTCGCATCACACCGGCCTCCCACACGGGTGCTGGTTTAAGACCTGGCTGCTCCACTTCCGATTTTACTCTTTGCTAATGGCCTTAAAAGGCAATGCAAGATGGCTCAAATGCTTAGCTCCTGTACCCATGCAGGAGATCTGGAAGAAGCTCCAGACGCTTGGCTTTGGTCTGATCTAGTCCCAACCATTGTGGCCATCTGGGGAATGATCCATCTTAAACTGAAAATGCACTCAATACACCTAAACTTGTGGGTATCATAGCTTAGCATAGCTATTTTAAACACACTCAGGACAATTATGTGAACCTACAGTTAGGTAAATGTTCAAGCCAAAACTTATAGAAAGGTATTGAATAACTCAAGTAACTTGCTGAGTATTCAAAGTGAAAAGCAGTAGTTGAATGGGTATGCTTTTAAGTAGAATCAGAAAACCATGAAGTCAACTCGCTACGAATTGAAGACACCTGTAACAGTTCTGCAGTTTCTCTTCTGAGAGCACTGTCCCAGAATTTTCTAAATAATATTTCATCCTCACCAAAGCCTTGGAGCAAAGGTCATAATAGACCCATTTCACAGACAAGAAAATTACAGTTTTTCCCAGGTCTCTGGAACAGAAGAGCTAAATTTGAAAACAGGTCCTTGTGAATACAAACCGTGTAATCTCAGGCACCATTCCTAATTAAAGTGTACATGGTTTTCAGATCTTTAAGGAACACTCTCATTTGGGACAATTAATTTTCCCGTAGTGTCCTCAACAGGACACCAAAGCAGACAGTTCCAGGAAGCTGGATTCCTTTCAGATCCCTCTAACTACCTGTGAGCTCTCTGACCAGATTGTTCTATGTCATGTGAAAGGAAAGGCAGAGGGCAAATGGTCCAGAGAGCAAGTATTCCAAAAATAAACCACTCATCCCCCCACATGCTCTTCAAATATTTACCTCGTCCATTAACACTGCTGTCTCTTTCTTGCTCTTTGCATCGGAGAAAGAAGAGTTGCTGGAGTGTGCATTAAACATTCGTTCCAGGCCTGGAAATGAAGTCATGGTCTCAGTGGGACACAGGTGGGAGTCAGTTACGCTCTCAGAGGGTAACAATAACCTGGATGTGAAGCCAGAAGGCTTCCTGGACGGTGGGAGAGGAGTTTCGGTAGGTGGTTGTGACTGGGCTTTCCAGAATGAATAATGGTAAAGAAACTCACTGTTCATTTACAATGTTGCTGCTTAAAGGTCTTGTGATTTTTCAACACAAGATTCTGAATTTCTTTTAGTTGAATCATTCTAATGATTCCCACATTTCTGCAATGTTAGGATCTTCCTCGTTATAGTCTCTGAATAATTAAAAACTCTTTATCTTGAGTTTCCTGACCAGTATTAGCTCACGTTGAGTTATTGTGACCCACAGAAAACCAGCTACCCAGATCAGAATCATCACTGTGGAATCATTTTTTAAAATCACTTACAATGTCTTGGGGCTTCTTCATGTCCAGTCATACCTAACTTCTAAGGATAGGATTGAATTTATGTATTCTGTACATTGTTTTGAAATTCAGTAAAAAGAAACAAACCAAAAACCCATACAGTTCCTGTGCATAGGCTTTGAATGTTTTAAATCAAAGTATCTCTCATTGCAGCCAGTTTCAGAAACACAGTAAAAGGCTGCATTTTAGAAGTTGGTAGTATAGTCCTTATTTGACTTTCACAAAAAGACCAACACATCATTTTACATTTCCAGATTTCTATCTTCTTCTTTTTTATTTTTCTATTTTCACACAACTAAAGATATGACTGTTCAAATGAAATGATCTTTGCCTGTGTCTGTAAAAATCTATTAATTTTCACTCTAAGCGTCTTCTGAGTACGATACGTTCCCTAATTGTGTCACCCAAAGAGATCACTACGCACCTTCTTTGTCTCTTGATGCTTTTTCAATATCTCTTTCCAGTCTTGACAATTTTGATTTTATTAAAGATTTCCGTCTCTCTTTATCCATTGCATTGTTAGGATCTTCTTCCTTAATGAAAACAAAAGTATGTTTAACAGTTTAAGGTGGAAAAGCAAAAGTTGCCAGTTCCAGTTGTACTAAAGCTTTGGGTGACTTCATTTAACTTTATTTTTATGAAAGAAAAGAAGTAATCTTTGGCATAACACACATTGTTCTGCTATAGATATAGAAAACATCTCCTTTCTCACAAAGCACATGGTTGCACCACTTTCTCTAACAGATCTTTAATAGGTCAAATAATTCTTAGAGGATGGGCCTATCGTTATTTCAGTTTCTTGATAATTGATTGGCTAAATAGTTATTGCTCCCCATTTATCTTTTTTTCAAGTTAGAATCCTTTCTTGTTTCAAATATAATACCACATATGTGCCCTGGGGTGGAACTGACTCAAAAGTAGAACAATTTTATTTTATATTGGATTGGTTATTGCAAACATGTGAGTTAAAACACATGCTCTGTTCACAATGGATTTATAACATACTTAGATCTGTCACATTAAGCAGAACTTTAAACATAAAGCCACACACATCTATAAACAGTGCAGACTCAAAGAGCAGGGACAGATGGTCTCACCTTCAAGGAGGCAAAAGGCTTCAGCAGGACTTAGACAAGTAGAGGGAAAAAGGGCCCTCCTGGCAGGAGGGCTTCAGCAGGACTTAGACAAATAGAGGGAAAAAGGGCCCTCCTGGCAGGAGGAATGGTAGAAACAAAGGACTGAGGGAGGGCCATGGGATTTATCAGGGATAATGAATAGATCAATGCTTTAGCAATGCCAAAGGAAAAATAGTTGTCTCATGGGTATAGGGCTGAAGCACAATTTTATGATATCAGCTGCAAGAACCTAGTCATGATATCTGAATTTTCATGGCTATTGTATCAGGGATTAAATGAAAGAAATATAATTAGGATGTTGAGGTTTTGAGGTGGCCCAACATGAGTGTGGTACAGGGAAAGAAACACTTGGAGAAAAGGGGAAATGATAATGCAGAAAGGATGTGGAGAAGGCCAGCTTCTCGGATGAGGAGCAAGGAAAATGAAGATCCTCAGGACTCGTAGAGATAATACTCAGATCTGCCTGAGGAGTAGGAAGTGTGAACACCTAGAGCAGGAAACAGCCTCTCTACTACAAATATAGCTAAAACTGTTCTATATAGTATTGTTCATTGTGCACAGTAAACGTTGCCCTATAGTCTTTTTATGTGCAATTCTTACCACAACTCTTTGTGGGTCATTTAAATTTCTCCATGTTAACTGTGACATAGATAAATAAAAGATGGCCTGAGTTGAAAAAGCTTGGGAGTGTGTATTTCTGAATCTCAGCCCTGGGACATTGACCCCAAGATCTCTACCATTCCTTCACATGTCTGTCCACAGCTGAATGATAACTCAGTGCAAAGATGCATTTTTTCCAGTTCTGGAGCTTCCCATGTTGGAGGAATGCAAGACACTGTAGCTCCTGAGCCAACCCAAGATTTCACTGGGTTGGTTTGGAGAGTCCTAATGTTTAAACAAGTATTTCCAGACTTGGATTACCTCTGGATCAACTGGAGAATGGAGTAAACTATTTTGATTTAACTTTATTTAATTCATCCTTCCCTTCTGAAGATTTGTTAGGAAGATCAATACTAGAGGAGGCATGTAAAACACAGACACAAGCTTTTGAACTTGACATTTACAGTAACCTTATAAATGTTCTCAGATTGCCCACAAATTCTTGCATTTAGATTATTCACTTATCATGCCTGATCCTTGTAAATTCTGTAACATTGAAAACAAAGCAGTAAATGCTTATTGCCCATGACTATAAACAAAGTATGGTGCTTTGCTCCAAAGATATAGCAAGACAATTCTGTTCACTTCTTTAGAAACACAGTCCTTTCTCTTAAGTTCTAATGTGCTGATGTTTCATAGAAGCCAGAAATTCCCTCTGAGCATTTTAATTAAAGAAAAATTGTTGTGGTTGCTTGTGACATTTCAATAGAACCAGGAAGAATGACCCTTATTTTTTACCTGCTTAATTAATAGAGGCAATTTCACTATTTCTTGAAGAAAGTGGTAGATACAGTTTAATCACACATTTTCCTATCTCAAGGCTCACCCACCCTCTTTGGGAGAGGGACAACAGATACTTTCCTCAGGTTTTCTGGTGTTCTTTGCATTTCCATCTCTGCTAAGCAGAACTAAGGTTCTGCTTCGAACAAATGCTTCTTTTGTTAATACACTTTGCCCTTGCCAGAGTGAGAAAAAAACACTTAGTTTAAAGAATAGTTTGGGGCCCAGGGTGAAGGCTCAGAAGCTAAATCCTTGCCTTGTATGTACTGTGATCCCTTATGGGCATCAATTTGTGTACTAGGTGCTTCAATTCCTATCGAGCTCCTTGCTTATGGCCTGGGAGAGCAGTCATAAGAGTGGCCCAAAGCCTTAGCACCCTACCATCCACAGTGGGAGAACCAGAAGAAGCTTCTGGCTCCTAGCTTTGGATCAGCTCAGCTCTGGTCATTGTGGCCATTTGGAGAGATAATCAGTGGATGGAATATTGTTTTCTCTGTCTCTCTTTCCCTGTGTAAACTTGCCTTTCCAATAAAAATAAATAAATCCTTAACAGAAAGAAAGAAAGAAAGAAAAAGATATAGTTTGTCCTTTGCTGCTGTCTGGAGGCTGGGGAAGGAGAAAGTTGATTAGGGTTTACTGTTGTGCCCAATCGAACCACCTTCTTCTCCTCCCTTCATTATTTGTTCCCAAGCATAGGGCTTCACTTGGACTTTCAGTCCCATGGGTGGATGGTTCTACATGTTACACAGGACTGCGACTCCCTCCTTTCCCACCCCAATCAAGTTTCTGGAAATCTAAATTAGGTGAAGTAGAGGGCTCAGGTGAAGACCCCTATGAAATTCCTTTTACATTTTGGTAATTAGTGAGTGGCCCTTACATTAGAACACTAACAGCATATCTGGCTCTGACTAGGATCACTCCGTTTTTTTTTTTTAAAGATTTATTTAATCTTATTGTAAAGTCAGATATCAGAGAGGAGGAGAGACAGAGAGGAAAATCTTCCATCCATTGAATTACTCCCCAAGCAGCTGCAACAGCTGGAGCTGAGCTGATTTGAAGCCAGGAGTCCTGAGCCTCTTGTAGGTCTCCCATGTGGGTGCAAGGTTTCTAAGGCTTTGGGTCATCCTTGATTGCTTTCCCAGGCCAAAAGCAGGAAGCTGGATGGGAAACGGAACCACCAGGATTAGAATTGGTTTCCATATGGAATCCCAGCGCATGCAAGGCAAGGACTTTAGCTGCTAGGCTACTGTGCCTGGCCCACACTCAGTGGTTTTCATCAAGGAAGTTCATTCTTTTAGAAAGCTACCTAAACACTCTCAAAACAAGGTCCAGGAAATTTGGTCCAAATTTACCATGAGAAGGGAGCATAAGAAATGCAAATTCTTATTCCAGTGCAATTCACCTTTGCACAATCCCCAAGTGCTTACTGACAAGTGGATGAGACATCACCTTAGCTTGTAAGAGACAGTGATGCCTTGCTGGCCACATGTCCCTCTTGGAGCACCCATTCCAGGAAAAGCAGGTTGCCATGCTGTGAGACAGGGTGAGACCCAAATGGAAGGAAATACTGCCTCCAGTCAACAAATACTGAGGGCAAAAATCTTGGCAGTCACATGAGTGAAGCTGAAAACTGGTTCTGAAAAAGGCCTTGAGATACACACTGTATCAGCTGAAACCTTTTCTGTAATCTTGGGCATGATTCAGATACCCAGCTACCCTGTGTCTAGATTTCAGACCTACAGGCACTGAAAGATAATAAATGTTTTAAGACTCTTAGGTTTTGAGATAATTCATTCAATTGCAATGTGTGTGGACAATGACTACAGATGCCATATGTTTTTTAAATAATTGTTTATAGATAAGGATACATGTCTGCCTGGCATTACCCTTCCAGAAGATGAATTTATCTGCCAAAGTTCGTGTTTTGGAAGCTCAATCACCACTGCAACTGGGCTAAGGGGTGGATGCAAGAGGTGTTAGGTGATTAAACCTAATGGCTTAATGTTAATGCAGGAGTGGCTTCACCTTCACAAGAGTGGATTTGCTATAGAGTTTGGCCCTCTTTCATCCTCGCTCAGGGTGCAATACCTTTCACCACGTGAAGGCCCTTCACCTGATACAACCCCTGGGACTTGGACATCACAGCCTACAGCACCACAAGGAAGCAACCTCCATTCTTTGTGATTACGTAGCCTGGTATTTTGCAATAACAACACCAAACGGACTAAGACAAAGGCTGAATGCAGATTCTATCCAAAACTCCTTCCCTTCCTGAGAACATCCATCATTTCCATTGCCCAGTTTATATGGTTTTGGGAAAAAAAATCAACATTTTCAATTTCCAGAACGAGATATTTTCATTGCAGTTGCTTTTATTTTCTTCCAAATGTGTCCCTCAATGCAAGATTAAGAGCCATGAAGTTAACTTTGTGCCATTCCATACTTACAAAGTAATCAATCAGTAGCAGCTCAGATTTGTGCTCTGCTGTTGATGTTGCAGTTTCTTCCATTAGAGCCTGGATGTCTTTCTCAATATCAACCTTGCTGATGGCACAGTGAATCTGTGTGTGGCACTAAAATGCCAAGGAAAGCACAACAAAATTGCAGGGGAACAATAGCTCCTGTCAATTCTTACCAAAAAAATTATAAGCAATGGGGGAAATCTTCACTACTCACTGCAGTCAGTGTTTGACCAAAATTAGAAATATGTTGGCTGTACTGATTTAGGTTATTGCATAAAAGTTGAATTCTTTCCTTCTCCAGCTGCAGGATGCTCTGGAAAGGATGGAAAATGAGGCAAGATCAGCCAGTTGTTAGGCAAAACTGGTGGCATCCATAAAACACTGACATGTGTGAACAAAGCCTGAACAAACTGCTGAGATTGGACTCTCAATTCCATCCTATCTGCATTGCAAGAGAGAAACATGGCTTCATGTCCACTTTGTTACCCTCCTTCAAAAAGCATAAGCTCATAAACTTACCTCAGGCTCTTTTGCCCCAAAAGGCATTCGGTACAAACCAAGGTTACCTGGTATTCACAAATGAGGACAAGAAAGGGAGAAAAGGACACATCTGAAAAGCATTCGTGAGACTTAGAGAAGGAGAGGATAGGCCAGTTAAACCCAGGCAGATAGCTTGAAAATCTATTTAGAATTGGTTCTTGCACTTTTAAGGTATTTCCGTTTATCTCTGCAGGGACAACAATGATGTGACCCACATTCTGTGTTTAAGGAGACTAGGTGGTAAGGGTAGAATCCTAAGGTCTGATCAATTCACAATCTTGGCCTAAAATTAAGTCTGAAAGGTGGGCAGAGTCCACCATTAGATGGCGGGAACCTCGCCTCCCATTTTGTGTGGGATGATGAATAGGGAAGTGAGGGGTATTGCATTTGTTTTATTAGTTTTATTTTAGAACAAGTTGTTCCCCAGTCTTGCCACTGACAGAGCTTTGATAGAAGTGGCAGGTGTCCAGGGCAAACAGTCTTCCTGCTGACATCCATTCTTTTGTCCAGAGAAGACCAGGTTGGTTGCTTCCAACCAGGATACTACATCAGCATTCCCATCACATCAAGGGGAGAACACTCAGAAAACATGGAGGCTTTCATGACAAGGGCTCCAGGAAAAAACTGCTGGATAACATTACCAAAGAGAGGTGAGGGAATGGTTCCATCATAAAGCCTTTGGTGGGGTGAGGGAGGTGGGGCAGAGTGACACAGACAGTTGGGGTCCTGTTCCCCACATTCTGACTCTCCTGATTCATCTGCAGTGTTCCACTGGCTTCCAGCTTGGATGAGCCTCCTCTATGTCCTTGTATGGTTGTTTCATCCATGATAGATAGTCATTGAAGGTTGAAACTGCCGTTTGTGCTTTTATATTACAGTAGAATATATATAGCATAAGACAAATGTGTAAATAAAAGCACAGAATGCTGTAAATATATCTTTAAAATATACCCATGTTATCTCACGTTATTGTGCAACCATACCATCATGTTCCTTCTGAACATTTTTCATCTTGCAAAATTGAAATTTTACACCCATGAACTAATAACTGCGTATTTTCTCTCTCACTTTACTTCTGAGAACTACCATTCTGTTTTCTACTTTATGAATTTGTCTGCTCTAAGTACTTTAAGAGGACTCACACTATACTTATTCTTTGTGTCTGGATATTACATTAGCATAATATTAATGTTGAACCATTTCCCATATTTAGTATGTGTATGTCCCATTTTCTTATATTAACACTGCTTTTACATGCAAGCATGAATGCCTCAGGCAGTAACTGTGACCATTGATGCCCATCACATGAAGATTGAGATTTTATGCTAAGTATTCTGGTACTTGGATTGGAAGCCTGGAGCTGTGCCTCCTTGGGAGCCAAATGCCTTTGTTTCTTCTGCCAGTTGCTTAAGCCTTTCTCCACAACCACCGGCACCAGCCATTTGAATGGAGTCATGTCCCAGTCCCTTCTCAGTCCCAGGTACAGTTATGGATGCTGAGAAATACATACTGTCTCCCGAATGGATTGCCTCTTCAAAGCAGTGGGATTGGCATGTTTAGTAATCACTACGCAAAACATTCTGCTCCACGGTTCGCGCCTCAAGCAGGACAATTTTCCAAAAGTTCTTACCCTGTAGAAAATACCTAGAAAGCAGCTGCTCTAGTTTAGCACTTATGAGCAAGAGACAGGGGAGAAAATGAAAGTCAAGTGTGAGAAAACATTGTGCTGACCCAGGATCATCAATCTGAGGCTAGAATAACTAGTATCCCTTAATGGAGATGATAATGTGTAACCGATTTTAATTACATTTCAAAGAAATCATTAAGATGATCTATGTTTTCTCAGCAAAGAGACTCAAATACATTCCACTGTGCAAAGGGGAAATCCATATGTCATTTAATGAAGTGATGTTTTTTATGATCTTCTTTTTATATAAAATGGGCATTAGAGAAGGGAGGACCATGGACTGCCCTCTTGTGGTTCATTCACAGCGCGTGAGAGACAGCACCATCAGAGAGTTGGCAGGAAACAGCAGGTTGAAGCCTGTCTGGGCCTCAGGCACCATGACAATTTACACTTTTCATTTGTTCTGGCCTGTAGGCTAACACTAGGGGAAGAGCTTAGAAGAACTTCCTTTTCATTTAACTTGCTTTTATAAAACTTAGAGAAAAAAATAGTCTTTTTCTAAAAACTTCAGAATGTGTAGGAATAACCTAGTATCATTCAGAGATTTTGATTTTCCAGGTGGAGAGAGGCACCCGGGTACTTGAATGTTAGTAAGCTTCCTACACGCTTTGAGACATCGCCCCACAACTGCAAAGCTCCACAAAGACATAGGTTAAAAAATCATCTATAATGTCGGAGATGAACAGCATTAACACTCTGCTGTATGTCAGACTAGTTATGAGTGTGTGATTTGAACTTGCAGTTATGTCAAATCAACTTAGCTTTGATGTCATGTTCTTCTTTCTTGCTAACCTAACAGGTTCCTCCATTATTAGTTTCTGAAACACCATGAAGAGGTCAGTATTCACTCATTAAACCTTTCCTTTTTAAGTCGGGTGTGTGGGTTGTTTCCTCCCAGTTACCTTCAAGGTATTTTCAACAGAAATATGTGTCTTGTTTTCCCACTACTTTGTCAACAGGCACCTCAGGAGAAAATGCACTAGTATTCTACGATACCTTATATGTACAGTTGTACACCACAACCTGACAGTTTGCTCAGGTAGGAACCACACACAAACATGAATTTCAATTTTTTGCACTAAAATCAATCTTTTAAAATAATTAATTAATTAATTGAAAGGTAGAGAATCAGAGAGAAGGGGGGAGACAAAGAGGTCAGCCATAGCTGGTTACCCTACCAGATGCCTGTAACAATCATGGCTGAACCACACCAAAATTGAGAGCTAGGAACTAGGTCCAAGTCTTCCACATGGGTGGCAGGGGTCTAACTATTCGAGTTGACACCTGCTACTCCCCAGGATATGTGTTAGCAAGAAGCTGGAATTGAGAACTGAGGCAGGACTTGAACCAGGAACTCTGCTGGGAGGATCTCAACTACTGTATCAAAACCTGCCCGAACAAATGGATCTCTTAGTTTTATTTTCTGTGAGCTTTTTGAAATGCCTGCATAGACTGTGGTCCCATAATATTAAAACAGAAACTATAGTGACATTGCAGTTGTCACAAGGCCATAGTGCAATGTGTTAGTGACATGTTTGTGCTAACACTGGTGCCAACCAACCTACGGCACTGCCAGTGATATAGCACACACACTTAAGTGCAGTATGTAGCACTTGATAGTGGTAATAGATGATTGTATTGCTGTTTACATTTTTATTGTACTACATATTTTATTGCTACTTCATACTGTACTGCTCTACAAAATCATGTTTACTATAAAACAATCTGCCATAGTATGCTAGCAGCAATCTTACATGTCTCTTGTTTACTACATCTCTTCAGTGTATCAAGATGCCATGTTGATGGGTTGGCACTGTGGCAGAGCAAGTAACGCTGCTTTCTATAGTACTGGCATCCTATACTGGTGCTGGTTTATGTCCTGGCTGCTCCACTTCCAATCCAGCTTCCTGCAAATATGCATGGGCATGCATCAGAGGATGTCCCAAGTGCTTGGGCCCCTGCATCCACATGGGAGACCAGGATGAAGCTCCTGGCTCCTGCCATCAGATTGGTCTAGCTCCAAATATGATGAACATTTGGGGAGGTAAATTTCTGTCTGTCTGTCTAACCCTGTCTTTAAAATAAATCAAAAACATAAAGATACCATCTTGAGAGATTGGCTTCTACCATCAACATCAACAGTTAAGTGTAGGAACTGGCATGATGGCTTAACTGCCTAGTCCTCTGCCTACAGCACCAGCATGCCATATGGGCACTGATTCATGTCCTGACTGCTCTGCTCCCCATCCAGCTTCCTGCTAATGGTCTGGGAAGATGGAGAAGGATGGTCCAAATGCTTGGGATTCTGTACCCATGTGGGAGACCCAGAAGAAGTTCTCAACTTCTAATGGGCTCAGCTTCACCCATAACAGCCACTTAAGGAAATGAACCAGCAGGTGGAAGATCTTTTTCTCTGTAAATCTATTTTTGTCTCTCCTTTTGTCTGTAACTCCTGTTTCCAGTAAAAACAGGTACATATTTTTTAAAAAGAGTTAAGTGTAAGTACACTCCATGATGTTCCCATGATGATGAAATCACCTGACTTTTTATTTCTCTGGGCTTATCTCCATGGTTAGGCACCACATGATATGTTTACCATCTGTCTGCATCCAAAGTAGTGCCACTAAAGATTCAGCTTTAGAAAACCTGGGAAAACAGTTATTCCGATTATTTTCTGTTGGTCCGATGAGGAACATTGGTTGAAAATTAAAGATTTACTTTCATTTTTATTTGTTTATTTGATATGCAAAACGAGTGAATGAGATTTTTAATCTCCTTGGTTCACTCCTGCAATGCTCATAACAGCTGAGGTAGGACAAAGCCAGGAGACAAACTAAATCAACATCTCGCTCCTCCATGAGTGGCAGGACCCAGTGACTTGCATCATCACTGTACCTCACAGCATGCATGATATCAGCAGCTAGAATTGGGAGTAGATTTGGAACTGAAACCCAGGCACTCTGGTATGGAATTCAGTCATCTTAGGTGACATCTCAATCAGTAACCAACCATCTACTCCCAAGAAAGGAAACATTTAATGTGCTTGACATATATTGTGAGTAGCTCTCTAAAACAATTCCTTCAGTAAGTACTATTCATACCAAGCATTTGATTCTTCATGGTTTTTGATAGTGTGGTGCTTGCCTTTTAAAAATAGAGTTATTTCTACCAACTGAATTGTTTCTTCTTGCAAGGCAAGAAATGTGGCTTAAGAATAGAAGATTTTCAAAGTAACTAAGTATAATTTTGCCAGGTGGTTTTTAGAATTAATTTCTCTACTTAATAGTCACACTTAAGTTTTTAGAGTATTTCGCACAGTATATATTAGACTGTCTTGAACATAGTTCAGTGAGAATCCTGTGAAATAATCTGTAAACCCAACTCATATGAGAATAGAAGGTGAAAGAACACCTCATGGAACTCCGAAATGAATTCTTATTATTCATTTTTTTACACACTAGAAATAAAATGAAAAGAAAATGAAACCAAAACAGCCCAATTGTTCCACTTCCATCTCTCACATGATATAGTTTTCTTTTAATTCCATTTGGCTTATTGTTTTATATCTCTCCATGAATCTACTATTTTACTCTTAGTAAACACATGAAAGATGCAGAATTCTTAGAGTAATATGTAAGACAATGATCTGCTGGTATGTACAAGCCAAAGAGATACAAAGTCAAAGCATCATTACTGGGTTAAGGGTAACTTGATACAGGCTGTCTCAAGTTAGGTCTAATGTACCTGGGCTGGTACTCAGGAGGCAAAAGAAAGCTCATGGGATGGTGGCTGAGAGGATTGCACTAACTAAAAAGAGGGGAAAGTAAAATACTGGTGACTTCTAGCATGATAGTAACAAAAATCCAGGAAATAAGAGAAGTCAGAGGAAATCCTATTTTCACTTAAGGAGATTTTAATTTTGAGTAGATACTCCAAGTGACTTCAATTTTAATATATTTTTAAAGATTTACTTATTTTAAATTGAAAAGCAGATTTTACAGAAAGAGTAAGAGAGACAGAGAAGTATCTTCTATCTGCTGGTTCACTCTCCAAATGGCTGCAATGGCCAGAGCTGAGCCAATCTGAAATCAGGAGTCAGGAGCTTCCGCCAGGTGTACAAGTGGGTGCAGGGTCCCAAGCTTTGGGCTGTCCTCCGCTACTTTCCCAGGCCATAAGTATGGAGCTGGATTGGAAGTGGATCAATCAGGACACAAATTGGCACGTATATTGGTTGTCAATGCCACAGGCAGAGGATTGGCCAGCATGCTGGCTCTGATTCTGGCACACACACACACACACACACACACACACACACACGTACATATAATGCATATGTATATATTTTAAAAACTTAATTCTTCAACATTATTAAAGCTGAGATGGAAGGAAGTCTTTTGAAGTATTGAAGAATGAATGTCTTGTCACCTTTGAGAAAATATTGTAAGGAAAAATCATTTATGTGAAAGACCTGCCTAAAGAAAAAGAGACCAAGAAGAAGAAGAAGACTTGTATCCGCAGCCTACCTGGTAACAGTTTTCTAGTGTGTTTTCCCACTTCAGTCTGGTAGAATATCCTGCCATGTTCTTTTGGTAGTAATTTTCATCTTCTTTTTGCAACTTCTCAGTTGATTTTTTCAGTTTGTTGAGGAGCTAAATCAAAACATTATTATTATGTACTCATTAAAACATATATGAAATCTCTTTGGAATTCTATGGAAAGAAATATGTGTGACCCAATGGCATGCCTCTTACTTGTCAGCTGAAGACATAAAGAGTAAATACAGATGAAAAAACTAGAGGTTATTTTTTTCCCCAGAACAAAAAGAGTGGCAGGGCTTGAGGAAAAAACTAAGTGCCTTTCAGTGTGATTGCTTAAGGAAATAAACCACTTAAATGTGGAGCAATTTGTCCACATTCATCAACTCAAGAAGACAGCCAAATAACTGTGTATTTGAGAACTGACAGTGCAGGTTAAGAATCTCCAAATCAAGACAGCCATCTACCACAAGACTGGCAAGTTTTACAGACTTCTGTGCTTCCTAGAGATGTCTGGAGTCGTATAACTTTTAGAACTAAGTTTTAGAATATGTCTGGCTATCATCCTGTCAGATCATCCTAAAGTTAGCAATGGAGCTTTGGAATCAAATTTCCAGGAGGCTACAGGCAAGTGAGTTAATCCTCATGAACCACAGTTTTCATCTTTGTGATGGGCACAGGGGCACATTCACTGGTTGTCTTGAGGGTTCAAGCTGGCCGTGCATCTAAGGCACATGGCCCGCAGGCCCGCATCTGTTGTATCAAAGATTAGCAAGTATATTGTTGCCAGTGAAAAGCCCAAAACACACCCCCGTATTTACTGTTGGTTATGGCAAGCCTCACAGGAGGTATTCTGTTACCCTCATCCCCTGTGATCTGCTTTTATACAAGAAGCCTCTCCTTTCTAGGTACCAAGATTGGCTTTTTACTTCTTAGATCATCCGTGATTCAAAGTTATATAAAACTCCCTGGATCAGGCATAACTACAATTGGTGAGCAAACTGCCCAGACAAGTGCTTTCACGTCTCTGAGATGAGCAAGTTGCATGGCATGAAGGATGTTCACACTTCAGCATCTCTAGCAATGATTTCAGATGCTTGTCAAACTGCACATCTCAAAGCCTCCCAAGTCGCAACACTGACTGAATATCCCTGCCATAGGATTAAGAACTCTGAATTTTCACACTCTCTTCAGATAATCTTCATACAAATGGTCTTTGAAACATACTTTAGATCTTCAAGGAGTCCCTGACTTAAACAGTTTAGGGGTTTCAATGACAAGGACAAGGACAAAAGCTTTTAAAAAATGAATCACTTTTATTTTTAAGGACTTTTTGGCTAGTGATGCAATAATGAAGAACACTTATCCAAAATGCTGAAAGTTGATGCGACTCACTTTATTACTACAACTGCTATGCTAGCTGTTCAGTTGTGGCTCAGCTCTGACATATGACCTCCACAGGACACATTTGGTTTTGTATATCAAGTTCCATGAACCACAGCCCTCTACCAAAACATAAGCTTGGGAATTTTATCTGGGCAGCAACACAATGAGTGGGCTTGACGAGTGCCATGGTTATACTGTGCCAAGTCATCATCCCACATCTCCAGAGCTGGGAGCTTCTTGAGCTTTAAATCACTACTCATATTCCTCAGCTGCAGGACAGAACCATGGATTAGAGGGTCCTGCGTGGCCAATTCCCACAAATACACCTAAAGAGAAAGAAATGAGGAATGCAGATGCCTGTGTTCTCATTGAAGAAGTCTCCACTGCCAAAATTGCCCAAGACTGAATTCTTTTTCTTTTCCTTTTCCTCCTTTCACCACACCCATTTCATCCATTTGTCCCACACACTTTTATTCAGTGCCTATCATATACCATGGGCAAGGCTTTGGAGACACCTACACAGACCACTATATCCTGTGTGGTAGATTCCAGGATGGCACAGGTAGCTAAGTGCCCCTGGGGCACCCAGGAAACACGTAAACTGTGTTTTGATCTTAGTGATATTTAAGCCACGACTTGGAACATCATAAATTATTTAAACGTCCCCACACGAATAAATCTAAATGAAATTGGGAATTGTTGAGGCAAAAAAAGTGCGATTTGATAGAAAAATCTAACCAATCGACAAGCCAATGGTGATAAGATTCAGGCAAACAGTTCTGGAGAAACACTATGAGATATAAGGCAGAAGTAATGTGTGTGAATCAAGTCAGGGAGGGGTACGAAGTTACGTAAAGGAGTTGGTCCTTTATTCTGGGGTCCCTGAGAAGCCTTTGAAGGATTGCAATGTAGTATGACATGATCAGATACAAGTTTCAGTAACGCCAGGTTGCGTTTGTGCATGGGAAATACATGGGATGGGCAACCCTGAAGGCAGAGACCTATTTGTTCATTACAATAATTCAGGTCAAAGGTGAGTGAGAAACAGAAGGAGAAGTAAAGGTTCAAGAAATATTTGACTTCAGAATGACTTTTTGGGAGAATAGGATGGGTGATAATATTCAAAGATATGGAGAATAGAGGAATAGGGAATATCTTTGGTAGAGGGAAGCAACAGGTCTCATTTTGGATAGTGATTTGAGCTGTCAGAAAGCAGTTTAAAGACTGATAGGGGCTGGAGTTAGCCATGTAGGTGTTGGCAGCATGGATTTGGCAGTTGCAACCTTGAGAGTGTATCTATTGAGTATCTATGATGTGCAGAGAATCTGGTATTGAGCACTATTTTTGGCATTGGAGATAATGATGGTGAATAAAACCGAGAAAGGCCCAGGAGAGAAATCTTCAGATGCAGGAATCCATAAAGGTCAGGCAAAACAGGATGTGTTCATAAAGGAGGCTAAGATAAAACTCCCAGAAAGGTGGGAGAAAAACTGAAAAAGCAAGCTAAGCTAAAGCAAGAGCTTCTAAAAGATGGAAATAAACAGTGCTTAAGGATTTGAAGTTCAACAAGGTCAGAACTGGAAAGCACTTACTGGCTTGGCAGGCAGGGACACTGTGTGGGATGGTGGGGAAGCACATTGGAATGGTTTATAGTGTGAAGAGGAAACAAAAAGGTGGAGAAAGAGTGTAGATAACCATTTTAATAAATCTTAGTGTGAATAGAAGAGAGGCTAATATCTGGACAGGAACAGGAACAGCAGCAGGCAAAGTTGTGTTTCTGATGCTTGCTCCTGTTTTCCCAAGACGGGGGTGTGAGGGAATGAATACTTGTGCCCACACCTACAATTTCATCTGATGAGCTCTACCCCTCAATGTGGTTATGTTAGGAAGGCAGAGGGGTGGTCAGCTCAGGAGAGCAGAACCCCCATGGATGAGATTAATATCCTTATAGTAGGAATCCCATAAACTTTCACTCTTTCTGCCTTGGGAGAGTACACCCAGGAAACTGCACCCCGGGAGGGCACCCTGATGACTTCTGTCTCCAGGACAGTGAAGACTAAATGCCCGTTTTTTGAAAGATTTATTATTTTTTGTTGTGAGAGAGAGAACAATAGAGAGAGAGAGATTTTCTTCTGGTTCACTCCCCAAATGAGTGAAACAACCAAGGCTGGACCAAGCCAGAGCCAAGAGCCAGACATTCCACTCAGCATTCCCACATGGGTACCAGGGGCCCAGGTTCTTGGGCCATGTTCCCATGCTTTCTCAGCCACATTAGTAGGAAGTTGGAACAACCGGGTCTTGAATGGCACTTTGAGATGGGACACTGGAGTAGAAATTGTGGCATAACCTGTGTAATCTGAGATTGGGAAGACCAATGGAAGTATCGGAAAGGGGCTGCCAACAATACTGGGGGTCAGGGTGGTAGAGTCCTTTAGATTGTGTGAGAGACATGATGGGACTGGGTGGGAGCACAGGGCCAAGACTTGGCCTCTGCAGTACAGCCGTGCAGACTCTGCGGCTTCAGGGAGCAGACAGCTGAGCCATGAAGCAGCAATCGGTTCATCTGCTAAAAAAGGGAGTGTGAGGAGAGCAGTGGCAGAAATCTGAGAAACTGGAAGAACTGTGAACCGCAGAGCAGTACAGAGGACAGGCTGGGGCTGATGGCACAGGTGCTTCTGTGTGGGATGAGAAGAGAAGGCTGCTGTACATTCTCAGCACCTGGCCTGAAACAGCTGTAATTATAATAAGCAATATAAAGCAGTGGGTCTGGGATGCGGTGATAGCCAGAGGTTAAGGCTGCAGTACCAGCAGGAGGAGTGCCACACCATGGACATTGCCCCGCTTCCCATGTCCTCCCATCCTTCCCAAGGAAGCTGCCCATAGAGGAAGAAAGGAAATTTATATCTTAGTTATGGGAGCTTTGTTCTTGGTTATTGCTTGGCATCAATCAAGAGTAGCTTCTAATGAGGGCTTGGAAGACCTGGGATAGGTGGTGGTGCTTAACTTTTTAATACTCTGAAGGCTAGTGTTCCCAGAAGCAGCCTCATTATTCAACTCCTGTTATGATGGTTTCAAACTGTGAAGACTGACATGTGAAGGCAGAAGAACCTTGTAAAACCTTGTTAACAATGAGCCTAAGTTATTCAACTGACAGTTTCTTCAGCTGGATAGGACCACCTGCAATGACGACTCCCTTTTCCTTATAAGAACTTTTGGGGTTGCAGTGGTGCTAGCTGTGTTTGCTGCTGGAGGTTGCTACTCTTAGAAGAGATTCTGATTATTTCAAAGGTTTTTGATCTGGGGTGCTCACAAGAGGCATGTGAGGTAAGCTATTGAGGTGTGGGCAGAAACTACCTGATTTTTATTCCTCCACTTCAACATTATTTATGTTCCTTTTTGACTAACAGCACAATTATCAGGCTTACTATTACTTAATATATGAATGGATGCTGATGCCCACATGTGGTTACAGGTGGATCCTGAAGTGGCTTCTGCCACATGGGAAGCTGCCAGGAGGTCTGGCATGTGCTTTCCTTTCTAGCTCCCTGGGGTATGCAGCGATTGGCATGAGCTTGGGTCAGGTGGATTTGCAGACTTAGCATCGAATTGCAATCAATCATTGTATGAAGTATGCACACATATCTTTAACGGATGTCTGCCAAGAAAGTCTACGCTGCTGTTACTACTAAGGATGCACACAGGAAGCTGCAAAGAAGTCAAAGCTGAAGTTTTCTGCTGTTCCTGCCTATGCATGCACCATCACCCATGTACAAAGCAAAAACTGGCATGGCATCGTGAGGCCTTGAGAAGATGCTGATGAGAGAGTTTGTTTATTTAGTGACTTAATAATTTAAATCACTGAGAGGAGTGCTAGGAATGTGAATTTATTGTGTTTACTGTGATCAAGGCTAAATCTTTCCCCAAGTGTATATTTTGCCTGAGAATATTGCTTAATGATTCTGCAAATGCATCATGATTTGCTAATCATTTAAAATATTATTTCATGTTTATCTTATGTGAAGATTTCTACTATTTTTTTCTTAAGAGACAAGGAGACAGCAATAGTAATACTGATAGGTGTGTGTGTGTGTGTGTGTGTGTGTGTGTGTGAAAAACAGAAAAGAGGGAGGGGTGGGGGAGAGAGATCCTGTCATTTACTAGTTGACTCCCTAAATGTTCAAAATAGCTGGAGCTGGGCCAGGGCTGGAGCCAGGAGTCAGAAACTTAATTCAGTCCTAGATGGGAGGTAGGGACCTAATTGGAGCCATAATTGTTGTCTCCCAGGTGCTCAGATTAGCTACAGTCTGGCCTCAAACCCAGGTCCTCAGATACAGGATATGGGCATCTTAATCAGAATCTTTGAACCTCCACTTCATAATGTTCTGTAGTGTTGTTTACATGTTAGTATGATATATGAACAGTTACGTAAATTACATATCTAGGTATATCTATATACCTAGACTTATAAGGAGTGTAAAATGAGGGGTTTTTATTAATAGAATTCTGTGACAAAATTTGGAGTTTGCTCTTGTTTGTCATGTTAGTAATATTTCTTTAAAAGTTTTATTTAATTTTAGTTTCATTCCATTCGAAAGACAGAAGCAAAGAGAGAGAGAGAAGAAAAAAAATCCAAACATTGTTTCATTCCCCAAATGCCCACAACAGCCAGAGTTGGAGCCAGGAACCCAGAACTCCATCTACTTCTATCGTGCAGGTGTCAGGGGCCCTCAAACCCAAACCATCATTCACTGTCCCCCAAGATACATACTAGCAGGTAGCTGGAAGCTGAATGAGAAGCAGAGGAGACAGAATCAGTCATTTCAACATGCGATCCAGGAGTCCCAGGGGTGACCCAAGCCACCACACGAGATGCCCTTACCATCATGCTTTTTAAAAACACCGATGAACCAGTAGAGATCTGGAATTATTTTTCGTGTGCTTCCAAGCTACCTTTCTGTAGAGATTGCACACAGAGTGTGGAGTCAATTAGTTCTCTTACGTTGGTGGCTAAAGGCATGAAGCCCGTCTGTGTCTGAGTCACATGGGCTGTCAGCCCTAACAGCTTACCTTGCGCTTCTCCTTTTCACTCACAGATTGCTTGGAGCTTTCTACAAGATGGAAAAGGGCTTCATGCTTCTTGGTACTCACCATTAATTTCTTCTTGGCCTAGAGTCAAAAGCATACATTCCAGGAAAAAAATAAAAGGAGTAGAGAATACTACCTACAGAGGGGGTTCTTCCCGTCTGAATCTAATGGCCTGTCATGTGTCAGCTGGAATGATTGTTCATTTCTTACTCCTTTTCACCCTCAGCTCCAAAGCTGCCTGAAATATCACTGCAGCAAACACATTGCCTTGAGATGCATTGTATATTTCTTCATTACATTGCGTATACTCTGGAGGGTTATATATTTTTGCTAAATCACTTAAGGCCTGCAAAACTGTGCAACATTTTTTTCCCTCACTAGCAAAATGGTCTTACCACAGAAAAATATTACAACAAGCACTGCAGGCTTCATTATCTTAAACCAATCTGATTATCTTAAACCAATCTTGATTGATTATCTTAAACCAATCTGATCGTGATTGAGGTTGTTTTAAAATGCTCTCCTAACAAGTAGACATCTTGCAAAGGTAGACATCTTGCTTCTTGATGCCCAGGCCTGGGAGCTAGGCAAAGGCAGCTTGCAAAATGCTCTGCCTTTCTAGAGGTAGAGATGCACAGAGGTGATTGGACAGTAACTCCGAGTCTCCCTAGCCTGCCAATGCCCAACCTTGGGGTGGGTTACAATTCAGGAGATCATATCCTGCTCGACATGTTGAACTTGGCTGAAGGTGAAACTCCAGAGGTAAAACAAACCAGTAGATTCAGATTTGATTGGGATCCAGCCTCTTCAGGAATTGAGCTGTTTCAAAGACTCCCTGATTTGTCACCTCAAGACTGCAAAACTGTAATGCCAGAGGATGAAGGGGCAAACTGGGTTTTGCCTTTCTGAGGGCTTTGACCTTGGGAATCAGAGGCAAGACCACTTCCCTCTCTCTCAATATGACAAGGCTCTCTAAATGGGGTGGGGAGGGTCGTGGTCCTCTTCCTCCACCTTCCGCTGTTGGCATGCCTGCTGAAAAGTGAAGCTAGGAGGCAAGCAGAGTTGGTCCTTAAGGCTTCCATGGCTCCCAATGACTTTTTTTTTAATCGACAGGCTGGATGGCTTGAACTGCATGCACTTGGGGAGAAAAATATTATGGCTGAAGAATTTTATGTTGTCTATTTTTTTCTGTTACCCTTCACAAAAAATTCAAACCATTTTATTTAGAAAATGATTTGGCAGAAACTGGGAAATAAGGAAAGTTTTTCTTTTTTAAGTCTTAGAAGCAATTTTAATATCTGAATGTTGTTTCAGGCTTTTGGTTCATGGTACTGAAGTTCTGTGAAAGCTGAATATTTAAAGAAAATTGAGTTTTAAAAGCAAATTCATTTCTAAAAGACTCATCAAATCAAGAGCAAAACTGGAAATCAATGAGTAGAAACCCTTCTTGGGACATTTAAATATTTATTACAAAAATGATCCTGGCAATCTTGCTTTTTACTGGTAGAAATTCATGTATCTCAACCATTTTTTTTTTGTCTTTGGTTTGTGGATTTCTCAGTTTCACAAGCAGCTTTAAAACCCCTTGTTTCTGAGGTCATCTCTGGTTATTTGGTAGTAGAGGCTGTTTACTGCCAAGGTTCTCTTGTACACCAGCTTGGACACATAAAGAGAAAATGATAACTCTTGGAGTAGAAACTGCCTCAAGGAGGATCTCTGGGTTTTCTTAGCAGAGCTTTCCTACTTCAAAGGAAGTTTTCTTGTACTAAATTATTGTAGAATGTTCTTATGTATACATGGATTTCTTTTGTTTTTTATTGTCACCGCTTAAGAACTTATTCTCCAGCGTCCCACGCCGGATCACAGTTCCTATCTTCCATAGCCATTCATTATGTTCTGCACAAATATGTAGCCACTTAACCTTCGGGTAACTAGAAATCAAGGATCATGTCAATGTAGTGTCGTGCACAAGAGTGCACAGATAGGCATGTGTGTGTGTCCCCTCCACGTGTCACCTCCACTCCTCGCTGTGCTCCTCTCACTATTGAACGCCCTTCTACAAAAAACCCAAAGCTCAGGTATTCATAGCCTGTTTCCCTAAACGGCACATTACTCAGAGAGCTGACCTCGGAACACAATGGCTGGTGGCAGTTTTTGGCTCAACTATTATCCTTCAAGAACATGACTTGGCTCTGTATCTCAGTTTATGCATCTACAGCATGGGACCATGCAGAGTCATATATCAACTTGGGTTGTTGCAATGATTAAATATGTAACTATGTAGGACTTGGTACCTAATCATCATTGCTATGTATTTGTCCACTGTGAATAATAATTGTACATAGAGTATTGCTTTCTAGTTGATTAAAATGAAGGGACATGTCAAGTTGGGAAGTAATTTAAATGAGACAACATTTTTTCTTCAGTTAGACTAAGAAGTACTAATGCTCAAACATGCAATCACATTTGTACAAAAGCAAAAAAATCAATGCCAAAAAATTTAGGTTAACACAAGAAATATTTGTGGATACTTGCCTTAATTTGCTGATTCCAGTTGCTAAGAACAAGGTTAGCTGTTTTTTCAGCTTCATTGTCAAGCTATTGAAAGGTGGAAAAAAAAAAAAAAGAAGAGAAACGTTTTTGCTTTTTTCTTATTTAGCCAGTGCTGTGGACCAGTTATTTGTGTTCATCCAAAATTACTCTTTTCTTTCATTCCTTCCTTTCTTTTTTTCTATCTCTTTAAGACTTATTTATTTTAAAGGTAGTAATTTAAATAAATAAATTATTCAATTGAAATTTAAATATTTTTATTTAATAAAATAGTCTGTTTAATAATATAATTATTTAATAAAATAAATAATTTAATAACAAATTATTTAAATAAAAAGATCCATTTGCTTAAAGGACACTGAGAGAGATATTCTATCCAGTAATTCACTTCCCAAACGCCCCCAGATGACAGCACTGGGCCAGGGTGAAGCTGGAGCTCAGAGATAAACCCAGGTCTTCCACATGCCTGACAGGGACCCAACTTCTTGGGCCATCACCAGCTGCTTCCCAGGGTGCACATCAGGATCAGAAGTGGATATGGATTTCAAATCCAGGCACTGCTGAGTTCTTAATTATAGTTAATTTTCTCCTTGATTTACTTATTTATTTTTATTGATGTAACTATTTGAGAAACATACACACAGAGAGAAACTGCCAGTTCACTCCCCAAGTGCTCACAGTAGCTGAGACTGGGCTGTGCCAAGGCTGAGAGCCTTGAACTCAGTGCAGGTCTCTATGGGGAGTGCCGATCAAGTACTTGAACCCTCACTGCTGTGTTCCAGAGCCTGCCTCAGCAGGAAGCTAGTCAGGAGCCAGAGCTGGTGTTAACTTGAGCAATCTGATATGTGATCATCCCAACTGATATTCTGAATGTGATACCAAATGCCCACCACTGGCTTGGGAACTACTCCATTCCTATTGAAGCAAGACAACATTTATTATACAACCACTGATGTTGATTGGCAACACAAAGTGCTTAAGAACTGTGTGACACACGAAGGAAAAGGCAAAGGAGTCTACATGACAATGTTGTGAAAGGAAAGGTATCGAGAAAAACTGGAGGCTATGCAGAAAGCAGACCAGATGCCCCAAAAGAATGGCTGTGCTGATTGTCTTTGGTTGTAATGACTAGTTGATGATTGTCGCCATTATTATCTTCTCATTATGTCAAACTAATAAGCATAGAAAAGCATCTTTTTAAAAACTGTGCTGATCATTATTTTCAATTCTAACATCTGAAGACAATGTTTAGTAACGTTTGTGACAGTTCTTCCAGTTTTCTTGCTGTCATGTGTGCTTTTTTTTTTTAAAAAAAATAGCATTGAGATCATATAGTTTCAATTTTTCATCTTTCTAATGTAATATTGTGTCATAAAAAAAAACCCCAAGCAATTAAATTCTTCTGCAATAAAATTGTTTATGATTATCATAACATTTTACTGCTTGGACTTACCATAAATTTACTTTCTAATGTAGTAACTTTCACTTTTTCAGTATTTTTTTAAGTGAAGATTTATTTGTTTGAAAGGCAGTTAGAAGGGAGAGAAAGAAAGAGCTTTTCTATTCATTGGTTTATTCTCCAAATGGCTGCAATGATCAGAGCTGAGCTGATCCGAAGCCAGGAGCCAGAAGCTTCTTCCAGATCTCCCAAGTGGATGAAGCAGCCAACCTTGGGCCATCCTCTGCCATTTTCCCAGGAACATTAGCAGGGAGCTGGATCAGAAGTAGAACAGCAGGGACTTGAACCACGTCCATATGGGATGTTGACACCACAGGTAGAAGAATAGCCTGTTATGCCACTAGGAATGGCTCTCACGCTTTCAGTATTTGAAACAGGACTTTAAAAAAATACCCTTGTGCATAATCCTGGATGCGCTCCTGTTTGTTTTTTATGATATAGTCTTGAAACTAGTACTACTCTCAGGATACTTTCTCCTTGGGCAGAAGACCAAAATCCAATCCTGTTCTAAACCAGTGGGAAGAGGTGGGTGGGAAAAGATTTTGACTCACTGATTTCCTCTTCTTCTCTTGCACACTCAGAATTTGATGAGTCGGTTTTATTGCTTCCAATTCGATTGCTTTGCCAAGTTTTCTGAAAATAGATCATAAAAGACACACAGACATCGTATCACGGCTTCTATCTACCTTCCAAATTGCTTTCTAGGGGGAAATAAAATGGTGTGTTTTGATGTATCTATTCAGTGCATATCACACGCACTATTTACAGCTCTCTGTGGATGGGTGGGGAACACTTACTGGTGCAGGTCTGCTGTGGATTTCATGCCCTCCGAGGCCCAGGCCCAGGCGCTGCTCAGACAGCTGGTGGGGAAAGCAGAGAAGAAAGGTGAGAACAGTTTTCCTAGTAAATGCTGGGAATTCAAGTAGCACTCCCGATGACTGCATTCAGCCACTGCGTTCAGCTGCCTGACCCTGTTTCGGGAGAGTTCATCTCCTGAGTGAGATTACCTTCTGCTTGGCTCTTTATTCGCCTTATAGTCACTCTAGTTACGGCTTTTTCCATAGTTATCTGAAGCTTAGATTTTCATTTTCCACTTCCTGAATGTAGAAAATCAGGGAAAAACAATACTCTAGGGTAGCAACAGGTGGGAACAAAGGAGGCCTGAGAGACAGCCATGCAAGAGGGCTTCATAGAGTGAGATAGAAAATTCCCAGAGACATGGGGCCAGTTTCAATGTGATAAAAAAAAAAAGTTACTTTGTTTTTATTGGAAAGGCAGAGTTATAGATAAAAGGAGAGACAGAGAGAAAGATGTTGTATCTGTTGGTTCATTTTTCCAAATAGCCACAACTCCAGGAGCTGAGCTAATTCCAACCCAGGAGTCTCTTTTGGAATCTCCTACATAGGTGCAGGGTCCCAAGGACTTGGGCCATTCTTGGCTGGTTTTTCAGGCAGGTTAGCAAGAAGCTGATTTAGAAGTGGAGCAGCTGAGACAAGAACCAGTGCCCACATGGGATGCTGGCACCACAGCTGGAGGATTAACCTACTACATAATAGCACACAAGCCAGAAAAGTCCTGCTTTGCTTTTTGGGAGTTACACGTGCACACTTAGGTAAAAACCGGTCAAGTCAACACTTGAGATAGATGGTTATTACACTGAAAAACCAAATGTCAATAAATTCATCCTTTAAAATAGACAATAGATACACTTTTCAGGGAAGAATTTCACACATGCCTCTCAGAGGAGCTGGGCAGCCAGACAGGAAGTCAAGCCTGTGCCTCTCTGAACAGAAACACTTCATGGTTTCCTGCAAGGCCTTGCATAATCAATTTATCTGACCTTCACTTAACGCATCTTTGACATTCAAAGTAACTTGAGATACCTACTAAAGAACCTAAAACAGAGTATGATTTGGGAAAACATTCACTGAGTGAGTGTAATTGAAGATTGTACTAGTCCTGAGGGCCAATACAATAGCTCAGCTGACTAATCCTCTACCTTCAAGTACTGTCATTCCATAGGGTGCCAGTTTGTGCCATGGTTGCCCTACTTCCCATCCAGCTCCCTGTTTGTGGCCCGGGAAAGCAGTACAGGATGGGCCAAAGTCTTTGGGGGCCCTACCTGTGTGGGAGGCCAAGGAGGAAGCTCCTGGCTATTGGCTTTATGGCCATTTGGGGAGTGAACCAGTGGATGGAATATCTGTCTTTCCTTCTCTATATGAATCTACCTTTCCAATGAAAAAAGGTTGCAGTAGTCCTGATCAACTGAACTTTCTGGATAAGAGCTCTTTGGTGGCACCATGCTGTATCTAGGGTTGCAAAACAGTAAGACAACATGTCCCTGCTCTGCCACCCCTCTTGTTCTTCAAGGGATCATTAGAATCAAAATCTTCATGGACACCTATGGAGGTTTTAAGTGTCAGGTTCTCTGCTAAGCACCCTTTGTGTAATATCTCCTTATTTCTCAGAGTAACCTTAGGTCTCCAGCTTAAACAGCCCTGAGGGATAAGACAAGTTTGTCCTAGGTTATTTGTAGTTTAGGATAGAGGTGATATTTAAAAGTGAGCAGTCTAAATAAAAGTGTATAGATAACTAGCCGCAATGTTATCCTGGATCTTTTGTAGCCAATTACAATACTCTGCTAAAAATACAAATAAAACTCAAAATCAGGGCAGTTTCAAGATTATCACTTGTTCTTGCAAACGATCCTTAAGGCAGAGAGGGATTTTGAACTTCGTAAGTTTTCTTTTTCGACTTTCCTTGTCTCTCTTTCTTCTCCCTAGGAGGCTTCAGCAAAAGCACTACCAGATTTGGGTCAGCGCACATGCGTTAGTCAGAAATTGCTACAGGAAGAATTTTTTTTTGGTAGGGAATTAGCACTAATGGGACATGTTTTAAAAGAATAACACATTTTTTTTTTCCTCCCAAGAAAGGTATCTATCAAGCTAAATGCTGCAACATACTGGAAAGAGCCTGCACTGATATTTTAGTTCTTTGTACACATAATCTCATTTAGTATGCACACCTCCCAAATCCTCTTCCAAATGCCTACACAGTCACATACACACAATGGGGCAACAGGGAAGAACTTTTCAAAAAGTAAATAGGAATGCATATTCCGTGAAATGGATGGGTAGATTTCAAAATTATTTTGCACCAAAATAAATTTTGTCTTTTAACTGCCATTAAATGAATGATTTGAAGGACTTTTCATCATTGCTTTTTCTGCAGAAACCAGGGCATAGACAGGCTGGGTTATTCATCCAAGGTTAGAGTAGAAACAGTACAGAATTCACTCTTTCAGGCACCAGGACCTTATGTCTTAACTATACCACAATCCAAGTGAAACATTGTCGTCAAGGTCGATTGAGTGTGGGCTTGGGGGTCATAAGACCAAGGAAGAGTCTAGTCCTAAAACTCAGCTGTATAGTGAGGAAAGGTCTGTGATCTCTGCATGCCTGAAGTCTTTCCTTGTAAACAGGGATAGTAATCAGACCTTTCCATGGCTTCTGTGGGGATTCAACAGGAGCCAGGCATTTCACACAGTGTGTGGCACATGGGAAGCAGCCAAGAACTGGATGCGCAACCTTATAAACCTGCCACAATCATAAGAGGAGGAAGTTTGAATTGAAATATGTGTTGCTTTTTCTTACCCCTATTTTTTTTTCCGTACCTCTGCCATGATACTTACTTTTTCCTAGTGTTCTGTAATGCTTTGCTCAGCTTGCTTGCCAGTTTCTGGAGTCCTTTGGCATAGCTAATCTCCAGGTTTGCCCTGTTAGCAAAAGATGGTTAAGTAGGCTAGGACATGCTGGCCACAAACACACACACAATAAAGAAGGGATAAAGTTGAAAGGTAATATCTACATGTTTATTACAAGGATTCTTTTACCTTTAGGCAGATCCTTAAGAATACGCAAGAGGACCTATGACGGGAGTGTGTTTTACTTGACCTTCTTTTATACTACTGTGTTTTGTATAAAAGCGGTGTTAAGTTCTAACTGCCAGTACCTATGAACTGAATCTTACTTGGAAACAGGATCTGTGCAGATGAAATCATCAGGATGTGTCCCTGTAAAAGGTGGGCATCAGGACACAGCCACAGATATGTACATGGAGAGGGCACCTTGTAAACATGACAGCAGGGTGCAGGATGACACACCTACAAGCCAAAAGAATCTTAGATTGCGGGCACCAGCACCAGGAAGTAAGACGACTGCTTCCATTCTCCCTTCCAGCCCTCAGAAGGAAACAGCTGAGATGCTGCCTTTCTCTTAGACGCCCAGCCTACCAAATTCTGAGAAAACATGTGGGTTGTTAGAGTAACCCAGTCTGTGGCGCTTTGGTGTGGTACCTCTAGCTAAACAATGCACTGGCATGGGACAGAAGGCTGTCGCACACAGGGAAGCTGCTTGGATAGCATCTAACGTGCACTCGGGACACCCACATTGCTTGGCAGAGTGCTTGCATGCACTGGACCCACTCTTGATTTCAGCTTCCTGCGGATGCAAGGCCTGAAAGGTAGCAGGTGATGTTTCAAGAGGCTGGGTCCCTGTCACCCATGTGGGAGACTCAGATTGGACTGGAGATCGATTTTTCTCTTTCTTCCTCTCTCTCTGTCCCTCCGCCTCATCTCTCTGTTTCTCCAATTCAAATAAATAAATAATTTTTCTTAATTAAAAATGTGTAATGTATTGTGAGAAATAGATTAACTCTAGATTATGATAGATGGAAATAAAGTGACATATTATGATTGAATCAATCAGACAGTAGGTTTCTGATGGAAGCTGCACCCGAAGTCAGATTTAAAAAACAAGCTTCTGATACTTTCAAAGTTTAAAAAGAATACAGCAGGGAGTCAGGGTGTGCCCTCCAAAAGCAAACTCCTTGGTTCTTCTGAATAGGCTAAATCACTTTTATCTCAAGCCGACTTCCTATTTATAGGCCCATCTAAAATGAGGGCATGTCCCTGGTCAGCTCCTTTTGAGTGTAGACAACATTTAGCCTATTTTATGTGTTCTGTCCTAAAAAGGACCATAAAAGTGTTTAATATTTTTAAAATGTTTAATGCTATTTTTATTGTAAAGTATTTTAAAAATTATTTATGACTTTAGCTTATCTGGAAAGCAATTCCAGAATTCTTTGGCAATTAACTTAATACCTGCACATTTTCACACAAATTAGACTCAGTGTCCAAAGACAGACAGCTTTCACATATAAAACAGGATCCACAGACCATGGGTTATTAATGTTTTGCCAAATTTCTATTTTCCTTTTTTATATAGCTGTGCTTTAGCATTTAAAAAGATTTTCTGTATTTATTTAAGAGGGAGAAATACAGAAAGAGAAAAGTTGAGAGAGAGAGAGAGAGAGAAAAGGAGAGAGAGGTATTCCATCTGCTGGTATTCCATCACTCCCTAACTGGATGCAAAGTCTAGGGCAGGGCCAGGCCAAAGTCAGGAGCCAGGAGCCAGGAGCTTCTTCTGGGTCTCCCACATGGGTGCCAGGAGCTCAAGAACTTGAGGCATCTTTCACTGTTTTCCCAGGTGCACTAGTAAGCAGCTGGATTGAAAATGGAACAGCCAGGTCTCAAATAGGCAATCATATGGGATGCTGGCACCAATCGCAGAAGCTTTATCTGATATGCTACAACACAGATCCCTGTCACTTTTTGAAAATAGACCAATGTATGAAATAGGTTAAGGCAATGCACAAAAACCACCCATTGGATGTCAGAACTTCTCCAAATACAAGGAAAGGAAAAGGCAAGTATGTTAAAATAATAGAGAACATAAATAAATACTTTATGGCATTTAGCAATACATTTCCCTGCCCTAGGAATATGTTGCAGTTGAAGGACAGAACAATAAAGACAGAGTGCTGATGAACTTTAAAGCTGGGAGAAAACCTCACTGCTGATGAATTCAGCTGCTGGATGGACCAACCTCAAGGGCTTCCAGGAAGCTGATGATGCAGTTATAGCCCTAGGCTAATAGAGACACAATGATGGCAGCAGCTGCTGTTAACCTACAAAGCTCTGCCTGATCTCACCCCCTCCTACTTGCCTCTCCTTCACTCATTCTCATACTCTGTGTCCACTGGCTTCCTGGCTCAGCGCCTGTGTGCATGCTGTAGTCTGTGCCAGGGAGCCGACGAGTAGCATAAACACATGATATGCTTCTTCATGCTAACCCAGGCAGGTTTTCTTTAAAAGTCACCTCTGCAAAGACCACCCTATCTTAAACAGGATCTTTGTCGCCACTCCTTTATAGTCTTTTTCTTTTCTTCAAACTGGCACATCTGTATGGATGGGATACTATAGGATGCTCCCTTACATATATTCACATGTCTGCCCACAGATTTAATATTTCTGCACGGTAAAAGCATAAAAATCCTTTCATCTGTTTTTTTAGAGAAATATATTGTCATTATCTACAATAACTCTACTGTGCAACAGAACACCAGAGCCGCTTGCTCTTATCAAACTATAACTTGTTGCCCATTAATCAGGCCTTATGTCTTTTTTTTCCTCCCAAACTGTACTGCCAATTTCTAACAGAATCAACTGTTTAAATTCCACATAGGGGTGAGTTCATGCAGTCCTGACTTATCTCACTTAACACAATGGCCTATAGTTCCATCCATGTTGCTACAAATAGCAAGAATTCATTCTTTTTCAAGGCTGAATAATAATCCATTAGTTACATGTACCACATTTTCTGCATTCATTCCTCAGTAGATGGATGCCAATGTTGTTTCCATTTCTTAGCTATTATAGATAGTGCTGCCATGAACATGGGAGGACAAATCACTTGTCTCCTGGTCAAGTGATTTCATTTCCCTTAGATATATACCCAGTAGTGGGGCTGCTGTATCGCTATGTTTTTAATTTTTGAAGCTATTACAGCTTTATTTGTGCACTGGCACTTAGAACTGTCTTATATCATACTGTAAATTTTTAGTGCACTCCTGTGAACACCGCTGGAATGCAAATGACTCCAGGAAGGTTAAGAATTACATTGTTTATTGCTGTATGCCTAGTTCTAGAATGGTGCTGGTGTGCAGTAGACACACAGGATAAATGTCATGAGAGTGAATGGATGAATGTGTTATCAGAGCTCACGGCTTTCTAGTACTTTGGAAGAGCTGAACACATAAATCCTGTCTTAGTCCTTTGCCAAGCAAGGTGTTTTTTTTAGGGCTTTCCCTTTCTCCATGCTTTCTAGAAAGAAACAGACAAAGCACAGAATGTAATGTGTTTATAGTGTTCGGCTCAAAGTGCTGGCACAAACCAAATTCTTTTCTAAAAATCACTTTATTTTCTTGAAAGACAGACTGACAGTAAGAAAGGGAGAGTCAGAGATCTTGCATCGGCTAATAGAGCAGCCAGGACTCCAATTCACATTGCAAATAAATAAGGAATGCCAACATCAAAGGAGATGGCTTAACCCACTGTGCCACAATGCTGGCCCTGTTAAACAATCTTTTGATACATACTAAGAATGTGATTGTTACCCAAAAGGACCCATAATTCTCCAAGATATCCCAATACACGGAGCTGGAGACAGTCATGGGCAAGAACCTATAGTTTGCTCACCCATTGTCTCCTACACAAAGCCACGTGGGTTCTGACAAGAGGCACATCCTCTTCCTTGGAATCCTGTTTTGCTTTCAGAGTGTTGTTACAGGTGCACAGTGTCTCAGAGGCCAAAAGTAAAAAAGACAACTAACAGAGGATGGTGTGCAATAAACATAATGGAATTCACTAAGGAAAAGAGAAGTTGGGTTTTGGTGACAAGCGAGGGAAAGGGTCCTGGGCTCTTCTTGCTTTGATTTGTCCATCTCTGCCCGAGTTCCAATACATCCCTTCAGATCTCTTAGGCATGATAAGAAAGAGGCCTAAATAGATTCAACTGCCACAGCCTATCTCGTATTGGCAGCCCTCCTTTTACATACACGTGCTTTAGAAGTATGTGGCAGAATTGTCTGAGGTTTTTTGTTTGTTGGTTTGTTTGTTTGGTTGTTTTTTGTTTTTTTCAAAGACAAAGGAACGTTTTGCTGGGTATGTTATTCTGGGCCGAAAACTTTTTGCTTTTAGAACCTGGGATATGTTGCTCCATTCTCTTCTGACCTGTAGAGTTTCCTTTGAGAGATCAGCCATGAATCTGATTGGGGTTTCTTTATATAGGTCAATTTTTTTTCCCACTATATTTAAGGATTTTTTTCCTTATGTACAACTGAAGAGAGTTAGATTATCTTGTGTTGTAGTGAAGATCACTTTTGGTCAACTCTATTAGGAGTTCTGTGCCCTTCCTGTTTGTTGTTTCCCAATTCTTTCTCCATATTAGAAAAGTTTTCATTTATCATTTCATTGAATACACCTTTAAACCCAGCTTCTCTTTCCGTACCTTCTGAAACTTCCATAACTCTTATATTTGACTGTTAATAATGTCTGTTAATTCTTGAATAGCTTGATCCAGCTCTGCTTCCAGCTTTTTGATTATTGCCCCACTGTGACAAGAACTATCTTCCAATTTTGAGCTCCTTTCTTCTGCTTCATTCATTCTCTTATTGAGACTTTCCACTGAATTCTTAAATTGCTTTATTGCATTCTTCATTTCCAATAATTTGGCTTGATTATATTTCAGTATTGCTATTTCTCGTGTGACATATTCTTTAAATTTCTTAAACTCTTGTATGTGCTTCTTGGTATCGGTAAGAAGCTTTATAACAAGTTTTAAAAAAATTATTTGGGGGCCCAGCACAGTGGTGCAG